CAGATCAAAACATAACCATTTAAGCAGAATAGTGTTTCACCACCAGATAATCCTAACCTAAAAGTAGTTACCATATTGTCTCTTTCCTTGAAATCCTTGAGTACAACTTTGTATACTGTAGCATTAAGTATATCAAAACAATGTAAAACCATTTAAGAGAATGACAGCATTACAGAGTATTTAGAATCGACTAACAGAAAATGAACAATGGTTTCTGTATAATCTCCTTGTCTTTAAAAGGTTTTTGCTTATACTATCGTACATAATAAAATCCAATAAGATACAACCTATTTAGACCATTGGAGACAGAAGGACAAAAGCTAGATGAGACTTCAAAACAAGATGATACTAAATCAGTATTACCTATTAAGATGTCATTTTCTCCAAAATAGCTGTTCCTATCATCCAATCTTCTCTGCCTCATTTCTGTTGAGCTCTTTTTCTGTCAGTAGCTGTCAGTTTGTCTTCTTCATTTTGTTCTCTGCTCCATTTGTTGTGGCCTCCCCGCCACTATTTCTGGATTCTTTGTATTTTTCTTTTTTTAGAATATCCTGCAATACTCTCTGTAGAGTTGAATTGGTGGTCGCAAACTCCCCCAGTTCCTCTTTATCCTGGAAGCACCTTGTTTTTCCATCAATTTCCAGGGACAGTTGTGCAGGATATCTCAATCTTCGCTGGAGATTATTATCTTTCAAAGCTTGAATTATTTCCCCCCACGCTCTTCGTGATTTGATGGTTTGTGCAGAGAAATCTGCTGTAATTCTGATGGGTGTTCCCTTGTAAGTGGTCTGTTTCTTGTCTCTGACAGCTTTTAATATTCTGTTCTTGTATTGAATTTCTGGAATTTTTATTATTATATGCCTGGGTGTTGCTCTGTTTGGGTTGTAGGTAGCTGGGGTCCTGTATGCCTCGTACATCTGAGTATCTTTACCTTTTGCTAAATTAGGAAAATTCTCCTGGATTATTTCTGTGAGTAGCTTTTGTAGTTCACTTGTTTGTGTCCCTACTTCTTCTTTTATGTTCTTAATCCTTAAGTTACGGATCCTCTTATCATCTTCTTGTCTTTGTATTATTGCTGTTTGTTTCTTTGTTATTTTTAAGAAGTTTTTCATTTCATTCTCCCATATTACAAGTCTGCCCTCCAGTTCAGATAGTCTGTCCTTAGTTTCTTTCAAGCTGTTATGCCAGTCTTCGAGAGACTTCTTAGTATCTTGGTAGTCCCTTTGAACCTGCTTCATGTATTCTATGCTTTCTCTGTTTTCTCTATCAAACAATTCTCCCCTCTTTTTCTGTTCTTCCATTCCACCATCTGTTTTTTCTTGGGTGGTGCTTAGCATTTCTCTAACTATTCTGCATACTTCTAGCTTCAGGTCGTTGATAACTTCATTCCTGAATTGGTCTATGAGGCTCTCTATATGGCGCTTTATGTCTATTGGTACGGTGTCCGCTATTGCCTGTTTCTCAGAATTGGGGGCCGAGGAGCCTTTCTTGTTGCTGCCTCTTCCCATATTCTCTGTTCCTTATATATGCAAGCTTATATAAGAGGCCCAGCTTCTCTCCCAGTCAGCCACAGCCTGATCGAATTGTGCCAGTTAGGTGTTCCCGCTCACCGCTGTGCACCAGGGAGTTACAGACCAGGCAGCCTACGCGTCGCCCCTCCTCCCGGCCACCGTCAGGCTCTGGGATCTGGGTTGGGACAGCCTACCGGGTCCGCCGGCAGAGTCACGCAGGCCAGGCACTTTTCACCAATCCCACCCAAGAGGGGGATGTGTGGCTGGAGTCACCACCGCGCCCTGCTCCCGCAGGATTGCTCGGGCCCAGAAAGTCCTCCGCTGGAGTCAAACTGTGCTGGAGTGTCAGTTTCTCTCACTCACCTCACCACAAGTCAGTGCACGCCTCCCTGCCCGTCCTGTTTTCGGCTCCGTTCACAGATTGCCGTTCTCAGAGCTTCCGCGTGTCTCTCTCCTTGCTGAGCCGCTGTAGAGGCAGCCAGCCGCCGCGCAGCGGGAAATCCAAATCACAGCTTCCAATGGCGCGGGGTCCAGCCTCCACACTGAGGCTTTTCTGTTCCTGTTTTAGCACCAGGACTGCATTCCAAGTTGGTTTCTCTCAGCCCAGTTCATTCCTGAGTCAGCAGAGCATATCTCCACCTGCTTATGTCTCCTTAGTCCACACCATTCCTGGCTTCTGAGCCAAGTCTTTCAGAGAGCCTCCGGTAGTTGCTGTTATCTGTCCGCCATGTTCTCCCAGAAGTCATACATATTTAATTATTTAAATAGCCAAAAATGCAATACAAAAAGTGTAAGCAGAATAGTATCCCCAAACAGGAAAAAAAAAAAGGCTGTTGTAAAGGAATAGGAGTTTGGAAGAGGAAACCTAACTAAAGATATAGTTAGCTAGTGGGCAAATATATTCAGTCCATTGCAGTTTAGACTGAGCAGGCAGTTAATACTCAAGCCAGAAGACAGGCACATGACCACGGCCACAACAGAATGATGAGAGTGAGAGTCCCTGTCTAAGTGCTATTGAGTGCCTATCCAAATGCATAAGGATTTAATAGAGGATGAGATACTATAGGATTAGCTGCACACCTGTATGAAGATACATATGAGATAGATTCCTACAAATACAATTTCTAAGTCAAAGAGTATGTGTTTTTTTCAGTACTGGAAATCAAACCCAGGGCCTTCCACATGCTAACCACATGCTCTACTACTGAGCTACATCCTTGGCCTATGGTAAATACTCTTAAAAGTCAGAGATTAATTTTAAAATATCTTAAATATGAAATAGAAATAGCACAATGTATCGAATATACAAAGAGAGTTGAGTTGCAGAGTTGAGTGATCCCCCCTAATGCACCTCATAGTCATCAGATATACTGTCCTCAACCTACCAGACCCCAAACACAACGGGCATTGCTAGGGCTCCTGATAATCTCTGTCCTGACCATAAAATTTCTCTTTCAAGTCATTTCCCATTTGAACCATTCTGTTTGCTTGTTTCACAAATCTTCTACCATTAAAAGCTTTTCCAGGTATTTTTGCTTAAAATTTTATGTCTGTTTTTTAAATCTAAATGTCTTGTCTGCCAATTATAAACCTGAAGTAGTTCTAAATCATATTCTAGATCAAATCACTTTTTTCAAGGATTGAACCTAGAAGTGCTGAGCTACATTTATACCTCCCTTACTCTAATTTTATTTGGGACAAGGTATCACTTAAGTTGTCTAGGTCAGCCTTGAATTTGCAGTCCCTTGCCTAAGCCACCTGAATAGCCAGGATCACAAGCCCATACCACTGTGTCTGGCAAAGATCTATTTTTGACTATGGTTTTTAAACCCTCCTGTTTATTAAACTTTAATATGTAATTTAAGATGCTTCATCCACAATGTTTTTCCTGCTATTTTCAATCCAATCACATCATCTCTAAATTTATATCAGCCTCCTAACAGAAGCACACTTCATTCATTCATTCAACAACTACTTGCTGGGTATCTACTGTACAGCAGTGTTTTACACCCTGTGGATAAAGTTCTTGCCCTTAGAGAGCTCAAGAAAAAAAGGTACATGAATGAGGAGGCAGGGCACACAGGCAGCCAATCAAAGTTATATATGGAGTAGCCAGATGCTGATAATTGATATGGAGAAAGTAAAGCAAGATAGTGATTCCAGAGTGTGAAAAACTATAATTTTCAGTTAAAGGCATCATGAAAGCCATCACTGATAAAATAAATTTTGGAACATGAAGGAGGAGGACAGGAGCCAAGTAGATTTCTGGCGGAAGAGGATTCCAGGCAGAGAACGTAAATACAGTGGTCCAGAGGCAGAAGCATTTCTGGACTGACTGAAACACAGTCAGGCTAGTCAGTGTAAGTGTGAGCAACAATGTGTATCTTATGCTATTTTTAGTTGAGAATACACAAGGGCACTGAAAGGCTTTATTTAACTTTAATATTCAAAGAATATTCAAGCTAGACGTTATACATCCGAGAGTAATCCTGCTACAGTCCATGACTGAAGTACAGAAAAGAGCCTTACCATCAACACTGCCAGGCAGCAAGTTCCAGAGATTATAACTGTGGGAAAATTTACAGGAGGCTGTGGAGGAATAACATCACCATGCATCTAAGGATGCTGCAGCACCTAACTCCCAGCCTCCTATACCATCTGCCTTCATTTCCATCCCTTTCTTTCCAAAACTTTTATTCAGAGAACCAGAGAAAGTTTCTTCATTTTATACGGTAAAATAATATGAAACATTTTCATTATTATTTATGAAACATTACTGGCCAGATGCACCTGTAATTCCAGCACTCTAAAAGCCTGAGACAGTAAGATTGAAAGTCTGAGCCCCACCTAGGCAATTTAGTAAGACTCTGAAGAGAAAAAATAAAAATGGTGGGTAATGTGGCTCAGTACGAAGACCTTGGGTTCAAGCACCATTACTACACACATACATACACAAAGTATCAGCAGGACACATATATCTCATCAAGTGAAGTCTATTATATCTGTCTACACTGATTGTTAATCTGCTTTATCTTCTACACTAAATTACATGTTTCTTATTCCAGAAATGCCACACATATTACAACTAGAGAATATACGTTGGATAATTGGTATTCATACTAGTTTTCAAAGCATATGTTTTATACCATAAACTCAGACTAAAGGTTGAAATTTGACCTAAATCTAAACAACATAGACACACACACAACTCTGCTTTGACAATATTCAATGATCAACCTTAGGTATAGTAGATTCCTATCAAATGACTTAAGAAATCATCTAACTATATTTTCAGCATAGCTTTCTAGGTTAATACAAAAATAATTTTATCAAAGAGCTTCAGCAATAAAAATTACCCAAAAAGAAAGTTAAAAATATGTTAAAAGCAACATAAACACTAAATATGGCTGTCACAATTTAGCATTACAAAGTTATAGTAAATGATGTAGCAATAAGGTAGTTAAAATTCAGAATCAATCACATTCTTACCCAGGAAATATATTTTTCCTTTACTTCATTGTTTTCTCCAGTTTCTCCCACCATTTATGCAGCCCAATTCACATCTTTAAAAGGTCACCAGGTCCTACAGCTGCAGTAGGTCCTGTAAAAGAATCACCATATCATCACTTCATGAAAAGAGAAAGTATATTCTAAGAAACTGAGCTGGCCAATCTGATTAGCCTCCTTTCCTAATTCATTCTGACAACTATTCAAAAAAAAAATAAAAGCAAGCAGTGAAAATAAAAACGGGTCTCAAGATACCAGCCAGCAGTTTATAATTATTAAAAATTTAGAAGAAGGGGCTGGAGATTTAGCCCCAGCAGCATAAGCACCTGCCTTGCAAGCAGGCGGTTGTGAGTTCGGTCCCCGGTACCAGTAAAAAGCTAAAAAAAAAAATTTAGAAGAACCTAGAACATATTAATGGAAGCTAGGTAACAGTGAATTCTCTCTGAAAACAGAAGATAATTCATCAAAATCTATACTTTTAACACTTTTTATACCAATAAATCTCTATCCTTCCCTCCTAGCTGGATGTGAGGTAACTTGGAAGAAATGATAAAATTAACTTATATGTGGCCTTGGTACATTACAGACCTTGGTACATTACAAAGGATCAGGACTATGAACACTTGTGAATGCAAATAGCTTGCCCCGCAAAAAGCCAATCCTTATAAAACAGAACCTTCTACACTGCTGATAGAAATGTACATCAGCATACCCTACACAAATCTGCAGAGGTTCCTCAAAAACTAAAAATAGAAATATAATTTGACCCAGCTACACTACTCCTTGGTATATACCCAAATTAAAGTCAGCGTATAATAGGGCAGTGGTGACAAACATTTAGAGCTTCCAATGGTAACAGCCTACTGCCACATGCATGCCATAGGATCACCGCTACTGTCATAGGGATATCTGCATATCCATATTTATTGCAGCATAATTCAAAAATAGCCAAGATATAGAACCAGTGTAGTTGCCCATCAACAAAAGAGTGGATAAAGAAAATGTAGTACTGTATATATAAAACAAAATGGATTATTAGTTAGCCATAATAAAACACTCTCATTTGCAGGAAAATGGGTGTAACTGGAGTTTACCACATTAAGCAATGGAGCTAGAGATCACTGTGTTCAGTGAAATAAGCCAGACTAAGAAAAACAAATATCAAATATTTTCCCTAATATTTGGGGTATTTTTTTAAAAGTAGCATGAAAGTAGAAAGATTATTATTAGACAAGGGAAAAAGGATAAGGGAGAGGCATGTAAGAGAGTATAGGGATGGATATAATCAAAATATGTTATATATGCATATATGAAAATGCCATATTGAATTCCAATATTTTGTAAAATGAATAGGTACTAAATAAAAATATATTTTAAAAAGCGTCCTTTGCCAATGTAGTTACTAGTTTTCACTAGCACTGTCACATCTTTAGCATATATTATCTATTTTTTACAATTTTAATCTCCATTCTAAGACCTTATAATTAATTCTTATAATAATCCTAATAGGTAGAGTCTACTATTTTAATCATCCACTGAGGAAACTGAAGCACACAAAAATTAAATAAATTCCCTTAGGAAATGTACAATGTGCTATATTTCTTTTCACAGGCAAAAACCTCTAAGCAAATATAATTTTACAGCAAGGTAAAGTCTCATCCATCTTTTTCACTTTCTTTTACTGCTGTCCTTGTGTAACTAAAGTAGTTCAATGCCTAGTTAATACTCATTAATTTTTTAATTTATAATTTACTGAATAATCTAAATGCTAATTCTCCATAGTTTAAAACTTAACTTTTTCTTATTTAAAAAATTATCACAGTGAGCATAGTAGTTCATGCTTTTAATACCAGTTACTCAGGAGGCTGAGGCAGGAGGATGACAAGTTCAAAGTCATTTGGCAACTTAGCAAGACTATATCTCAAACTAAAATTTTACAAGGGCTTGGGATGTAGCTCAACAATAAAGCTCTTCCTAGCGTGTTTGAGGCCCTGAGTTCAATCCCTAGTACTGAAAAACAATTATCCTATAAACATCAGAAAAAAGAACTCTTTCTAATGAGCTGTGGAAATCAGAAGCAATAATTATTTTGCAGAAGATTAAGACTTCAGCCACTATTTTAGATTATTACATTTCAAACATTTTGCTATACACACCACTTTAAAATATTTCTTTTACTCTCTAATTAAGTGATTAGAACATGATGCTAATGATGCCAAAAGCTATTGATTCAATCCACCAGGCCACTTAGCTTTGTTTGCTTCACATTTACAGACTCAACCTGGATGGCATATTTTAGGTCATAAGAAGAAGCAGGTAGGAGTATGCAAAATGAGTAGCAAAAATACATCTGGAAAAATAAGTGCCAAAAATACACAAACACAACATCAGCCTCACCATCAGAAGGAAGGAGAGAAAAAAGGTTTGTAGGTTGGTCCATAATCAACAGCAAAGGTAGAAACCTTTCTGAGTAAGAAGCCCTTGTCAATCTCAAATCCTTTATCAGAATAAAACCTAAATAATTTCCTTCAAAAACAACCAAACAAGAAAAACAGGTATACATATTCTTAAAAATTAATGTTTTTAATTTTTGCACAAACTCTGCTTGATCTGAAAATAGCATTTTCTTAATCCTGATAGTTCTAACTAACAATAAAAAAATTTGCAATGGTTTTTTAAAATGTCACAAAAATTTCTACTTATGCAACACAGAAAACTATTAGAAAAATGTGACTGCAATTCCATAAGTATTTCTAAGATTCTTTTAAAATTACTATAAATTTTCATAAAACCAAAAAGTGCTCTTTTTCCAAATGATATGAACTTATTTTAAACATGTTTTTTCAAACTGAATGAAGAAACTAACCAATAACAGATCTGTTTACATTTTAAAATAACACATGGCCCATTCAAGCATGTTTTCTCACCTTCAACAAATAAAAATGAAAAGGCAAAACTATGTTCCTCAGTTGTTACTGTAAGGAGAAACCCACTTGGGATCATCATCTTCAAGATTTCCTGCCCACAGCTACAAAAAGCTTCTCGATGTACTAATGCTACACAACACATGGGTTCCAACAGTCACAAGGTAACTATGACAGCAAAGGCAGAGTTATTTGTGAGATCACAGAAACGATCTGATGTAATTTTTTAAATTGAGGTAAGATTCACATAACATAAAAACAACAATTCTTTAAAATGGCATTTAGAACATCACAATGTTATACAACCAATTACCTCTACTTTGTCCCAAAATAAAATCTGGTACTCATTAAGCAGCCACTTAATAATAATAACTGCACAGAATTAACTAACTAAAGGTTCACTTAATGTTTATACTAGCAAACATTGAAGGACAGGGCACCAGAGAATAAAAAAAGTAAAATCTGAAACTTAATCAATGGGAGATGACATGGAGGAGGGAAAAGTGCAATAAAGAATCCTGATGAGAGCACCCCTCAGGAATAGAGGAGAAATGTGCCACAAACGCGTTGCCTGCCCTCGGCCAGACTCTGCCCCGTGGATTCTGCCCTCTAGCTGAGGCCAACTACAAACTCCAAGCCCAGTATGTTTTATTTTCCCTTCAATACTGGGCAGCAGAAGCACTGACCAACAAACTAACCTGATCATAGATGAGGCCAATGCCCAGGGAGAAAAGATAAGCATGGGAAAAAGATAAGCATGGGGGAGTTAATAGCTCCAGGGAGAAGTAACAGACCTGGTCTACAGCACTAGCCCCTAAAAAAGCTGATGGGGAAAATGATAACTAGTTGGATCCCATGACTACAGAGCCTGGAAAGAAACTACTCTTGAAAAACAGAAAGAAAAAATTTTTAATTGATTCCATTTCTTTCTTTTCTTTTTTCCTCTTGTATTTTCTTTCATCAGTTTTTTGTGGGCCTAAGGTTTTTTAAATTTTATTTGAAAGAGAATAGCCCAGCAAAGTACTTTATTTTTTTTTTTTTTTTGGTACTGGAATCGAACTGAGGACCCTGCACTTGCCAAGGAGGTGCTTATGCTGCTTAGCTATAGCCTCAGCCCCCAAAATAGGGGGTTTTTTTGGTACCAGGGTTTGAACTCATGATCTCACACATACCAGGCAGGCGCTTGTACCCCTGAGCTGAATCCCAAACCCTTTTAAAGAGAATAAAACCAAGCAAATAAAACAGAATAAGGCCAATCAAAACAAAACTGTGTAACACAGAACTTCAAAACAATACAAAATCAACAATGGTTCCATAATGCCTCTTGTTGTATTCAAAATAGCTACAGATATCTTCATATGTAGTAAAAATCAAGCAAACCATAACAGAATAGAATAATAAAAACAAAACAATGAATGCAATAAAGGACTTCAAAACAAGGTAACAGTGAATCCAAAATAGCTACCATAATATATCTTACTATCTTTGAAACTGTTGCTCATGCCATTGGGCACAACAAAATCAAACAAAACAAAACAAAATAAAACCCAACCTATTAAACCAATGAAACTGATATAGGACTTCAAAACAAGAAAACAGAGAATTAACAATGGCTATCACCTTCACAAGGAGATCCCCAATAGATGCCATACTTAGTACTGTTATCCTCTCAATAGATGATCAGACCACTGGCCCTAGACCTGAGAAGCCCATGAAACACCTACCACCACAAACATCAAATTGCATTTCACTTGAATAGTTACCATTGCTGCCTGTGTTTCTCCAGATCAGCCAGCTGCTGACGGGGGTGGGGGGTTGGGGGTAGCTCTTCTTGTTTCCCAGCCTGAGCCCTGGAAGGGGTTGGGTTCTGGCTGTGCCCCTGCCAGCAGTAGCCCGTGCATGGCACTGGTTCGCAGGGAAGGCTTGCTTCTTGGTGAATTCTGGTTCTCTTCCCCCGCAGTCTGCAAATGGCACTGACTCACAGGAAAAGGCAAGGGTCTAGCAGTCCCTGCATTGGCAGCAGCCCATGCAAGGCATTGGTTTGCAGAGAGGGCCTGCTACTTGATGAATTCTCTAGGGTTTATTCTTTTGTTTTGTTTTGTTTTTCCCTTAATTTCTTTCCTTATTTTTATTTTTTCCCTTTGTTTTGCTCTGGTTTTTTTCTTTTTCA